TGTGTGTGTGTGTGTGTGTGTGTGTGTGTGTGTGTGTGTGTGTGTGTGTGTGTGTGTGTCTACATACACGCATGCAGTATATGCGTATGTATGTATCGAGATACATTCACATGTATGTGTCCATGTACATCCATCCATCCATCCACACGGTCTACGCGGAAAGGCCGGCCTTGGGTGGGCGGCCACTCTGATGCCATCATATCACGTCTGCAGGCTAACGCATGTCTCGTGAGCCATGCAAAAAGGGCGTCTGGTCAACGGCGGGCGGTTGGCTCATGGCTTCAAACAAGCTGTTGGTAGAAGAGGGGCAGCGCGATCATGCGACCTGCCTACGCCCATGTTGTTTGGCTACCTGGCTACCCAACCTTATCCGATACGTGACCACCCTCCCACCCTTTGCCCAACACTTGCCATGCCCCTCGCCATCGCACAACCTGCCGCCCGTGTCTGCCCTGCCCTGCCCTGCCCTGCCGCTGCCAACTGCCACCACTGCCTAGAAGCCTCTCTAGGCCTGCCTCGCCCTCCATCGGTGCCAAAAAGACAATGTCGGCGTGCACAGTAGTGTTTCAGGGCGTGAGCATTGCATAACATGGCAAAGGCTGCTATTCGGACAGGCTAGTTGCAGGCGGGTCCGCCTAGTGGACGTGCTGCCGCGAAGACCAATTTCGTTGCTGCCCCCCTGCACCATGACCCCTACCTAGCAACACCGCTCTTCACATTAAAGTTCTCCCACCCCATCACTGCTCGACGTTTTTCCTATCCTTCTTCCCTCCCTACACCGCTGTTCGCTCCCTTGCCTCAAGAGGTTCAAACTTGCTTGTCTGCCGCTGCACCTTGCGAGCCCGGAACTTTCCCTTTCTGTACTCCCTTTGTAATACACAAACTCCCCCCAAGCCCCTCTTCTTCGCCCAGATACCCCTTCACCCACACTTTTTTCTTCGCCCACGCATACCCCCACTCGCAACCATGTCTGCCCCCGTCGAAGCACCAAAGACCGTCGACCAGCCAGAGGTTGTCGGCACCACTGAGGCCGCCCCCGCCCCAGTCCTTGCCGCCGACAACACTGTCGCCCCCGTCGCAGAGCCCAAGACTGAGGAGGCACCCAAGGAGGAGCCCGTTACCGCCGCTGAGGAGACCAAGGCCGACGAGGCTGTCAAGGAAGAGCCAAAGGAGGACAAGGTTGTCGAGCCCATCTACGTCGGTGCTCTCGGCTACAAGGCACCTGGCCTGAAGAAGTGAGTGCTCATGTGCGCTCTCTGTTGACAAACATTGTGCTGACCACAACCGCAGCGCCTTCCGCTTTGCTAAGAAGTTCTTCTGGTTCGGCGAGGAGCCCGTCGCCGCTGAGAGCCTGGGCGAGTACCTCCGTGGCGAGAAGCCTGAGGTTGCCCACCCTACCGTTGCCTGGTCCAGCCAGACTGGAAAGGGTCTCCTTTTCTTCGTCAAGCACGCCGACAAGAAGGACCAGCCCGCTGGTGTTCTGAACTTGGTACGCTCCCGCCCAGAACGAATTCGCCGACGCACCGCGACTAACACGTGAACAGGCCTACGCGACTGACCTTGCCAAGGACGGTGCTCTTGCTTTCGCATTCAAGCTCTCCGGCCACAAGCACGCCTTTGAGGCTTCGACCACCGCCGAGCGTGACGGATGGTTCGTTGCCGTCGAGAAGGCCATCACCGAGGCCAAGGCCTCCAAGGACACCATCGAGTCCAGCGAGGGCTACAAAGAGGCAAAGGAGAAGATTGGTACGTATACGAGTCGTGCCTCGCATCCTTCGTGATATGAGGCCGCTAGTGGGCGATCTAGCCGTTCGACCTGCAGAACACTAACAACGCGCAGGCAAGCCCACCGCGCTAGCGGGCGCTACCGCCGCTCCCAAGAAGAGCATGGACGTTGCTCCCAAGCTCGCTGAGGGCGAGGCTTCTGAGCCCGCCGCCGCCCCGGCTCGCACTGGATCTTCCTCCAGCTCATCTTCTGATGATGCTAAGGCAAAGAAGGCCAAGAGCAAGTCTCGCTCTGTTTCTCGTGGCAAGCGTGCCAGCCTCCTCGGCGGACTCCTCGGAAAGAAGGACAAGGAGCCCAAGACTGAGAGCGAGGCCGTCAAGGAGGAGCCAGAGACCAAGGCTGACGAGCCCTCTGCCACTGCTCCTCACCTCGATGAGAGTAAGTTGAATTGAACACTATAACATGTAATTTTTGACTAACAATGTCTAGTCCCCACCACTGCTCCCGTCGACGCCAACGATGTTGTCAAGCCCGCCGAGACCACTGCTGAGCCCGTTGCCCCCGTAGCGGCTGTACCCACTGAGGAGGCTCCCAAGGCTGAGGAGCCCGCCGCCGCCGCTGCTGCCTCTGAGAAGCCCAAGCCCACCAAGCGTGCTTCCATCTTCGGCACCTTTGTCGAGAAGCTCAAGTCGCCCACCACTGAGAAGAGGGAGGCCGAGGCTGGTCTTGCTGCCACTCCTGTCAAGGAGAACGAGACCGTCGCTGAGCCAGCCAAGCCCGTCGAGGAGACCGCTCCCGTTGCTGCTCCTTCTGCCAACGAGGCTGCCGCTGCTGAGCTGAACAAGGACGAGGCCAAGCCCGTCGTTGCCACCAGCACCCCATCCAAGGAGAAGGAGCACTTCAGCTTCGGCAAGCTCTTTGGCAACAAGGACCGCGCTAAGTCGCCCGCCGCTCATGAGAAGCTCCCTGAGCCCAAGGCCGATGCCGCTCCTCAAATCGAGGATGCTTCAGCTCCCGCCCCTACCGAGGTTGCTGAGGCTACCCCGGCCACCACTGAGGCTAAGCCAGAGACCACTGAGGAGCCTAAGCAGGACAAGAGGAAGTCCTTCTTCGGTAACCTTGGTCGTTCGCTGAGCAAGGCCACTGGCAACAAGAGCCAGGCCAACAAGGAGAAGAAGGAGGCTGCCGCCGCCCCAACCCCAGTCGTTGAGGAGGAGACCGCCCCTGCTGCCGTTCCTGTCGTTGAGGAGAAGAAGGAGGATGAGGCTGCCGCTCCTGTTGCCCCCGTTGCAGAAATCCCCGCTGAGAACAGTGTGGGCGATGCTTCGAAAAGCGCCAACCCGACTGTCGCTACAACTGCGTAAGGTCTGGTGGGAAGATGTCAGCCTCTGCAACGACAGCCACGATGGAATGACGGAAAAGCAAAGACACCGTAAATCCCTTGTTTGACCGTACGGCCAACCCGATACCCATCCAAACGTGCTTTGTGTCTTTTACTAGATTCAAGGCGTAACGTTTGGACCAAACTTTCCTTGACTCTGTTCGACGTTTCCTTGCATCTGGACCAACTCCTCGTCACTCTTTCCGCGTGGATCACCATCTGTGTGGCATTGACATGTAGGAGGCGTCCATTTTTGGCTGTTCTTTGCTTCATGCCCACTGCTTGTTTAGACTGATACCACTGCACCTGTTTCTCTCCTTTTTGATACCATTGGCTGTTTTGGTCGCAACTTGTTTTATCGCGCAATACCCCGGATACCCTCTGCGTACCGCCTTGTTAGGTGTACACAAGCGGCCACTAGGGCACACATCGACGTAATAATCTCTAATACACTGTCGTTTGCTCTGAAATGCTTGGTTTTTGCTGTGATGCTTGGCCTAATGACGAAATGGTGGTGATGGGGCGGTACATGCTGGCAGGCTGTGCAGCGACGGATGACTGCGTTCGTCGATCGACAGTGCATCAAGAGTCTGAATGCAGACTGTCCGTGTACACGAGACCAATTTGACCGGCCTGGGCCGTTCCTTAGACATGCATATACGGCAAGCCTTCGATAGCCGGTCCAAGGTTGAGTCACGGGGCAAAGGGTACAGGGACTGTGGCATTGTCCAGCCTTGGTCCAAGGGATTGCGTCCATCGATCGATATCTCCATGCCGCCCCCGATACAGGAGTAGTCTCGCCACAGCCCCGGCCCTTCCAACTTCCCTACCCTCTCCATCCGAGAGCCAATATGCGCATGCAATTGTTGCAAGCACATCTATACACGCCAATCATATCGCTAGAACGATATCTCCAAACTTTCTGCTAGATGACCCGAATGACTGCCTGTTCAGGCAAAGATTGAGGGGTAGCAACGGGCACCTAATTTCAACATGGTACGAAAACCTTAGTCACCCAGCGAGTCGCGCAAAAAATACCAAGAAAGAATATCAAGTCTAAGACGAGAGTGTTTTTCCTTGTATCTAGGGCTGTTGCGCATCTCGTCAGACCGACGAAGCACCAGGTGCCGCGCGAGCGCATTCGTCGTCGTCGCGCCACAACATCACTGCACCCTCGACACAACGCAGTCCATCCACTTCGCCGCGCGCGTCGCATATCTCACACGGCAACCATGCGCTTCCTTCTTCCTCTTCCTCTCCGCCTCCAGTGCAAGCCATCGAGCGCCCCAACACCCCGCTGAAACCCATTCAGCCCTTCCAACGCTCCCGTCTTCCCAACACCCTCGCTGCCGCTGCCGCTGCCGCAACCACGAAGCCCAGCTCCCGCGTTAAACCGCTGACTGACCCCACGGCGCTCAAGTGGACGCGCGCGCGCCTGGAGAAAGAGCGTCAGGACTGGTGGGATACGCAGGTCACGGGGTCGCCTGAGATATGGGGCGCTATCCGTCTGGCTGCGCAGCACCTGCAGGCTGGTGAGCTACAAGAGGCGCAGACGATGCTCGATGTCACGGGGTGCACGTGTCCGACGGGGCTAGCATGGCGCGGGGTGTTTGATGCGACCGGCGTGCAGTACAAGGTTCCCGAGTGGGTGGTTGTCGAGCCTGAGGGAGTAGTTGAGGAGGATGAAGATGAGGAGGGGGTGGGTGCTGAGGTTGAGGAAGAAGAGGAGGATGAGGGCGACGAGGAAGTGGATGTGAGGGTAAGGACGAGCCATGATTCTAAGGATGTGACGATTCGGGTGCATAGGAAGGAGAGTGTTGCAAAGGTCATAGAGAAGATAAAGGATGAGGCCAAGGTATGTCTTCTTTACATCTGCATTGACATTTCATGTCATTTACCTCTCGGCTTTACACAAGACTTTCTGTCTTTCGACCAAACTAACCGAATCAATAGCTCGGCCCTTTTGCCAGAATCCGGCTCGCATATGGCGGGCGCGTGTATCACGAGCACGAGAGCTTGGAGGCCCATCCCCATTGGAACTTTGATAATCAGTTTGTTATATCCGGCTTTGTGTTTCTCTGAATCTACGGTAATGTAGGTGGGGAAGGGCGTATGTACTTGTGAGTAATTCCCGTGACGGAGACTAATTTATAATGTTTGTCAACTTGATTTGAAGATGGACCCAAAGCGAAGATGGAACTGAGATTTCTTATTCCCAACAGTACAACAAAATGCAACACTAGCATAGACCCCCTCATCAACTATAACTTCCCGCAGCCCAGCTTCCCCTACTCTCCCTCGGATCCCGTCCCTCCCACGAAATTGTAACCTCATTCGGACTTCCCTCCTTACCCTCAATATAATCATACTTTATTCTTCTCCACCTCAACGCGCGATGCTCCTTAATCTCCTCCCCACTCATATTCAATCCACTCTCCCCAATCTTCATCACCACCGGCCGCAACAACATAGCCATACTAAAATAACTATCATCCCTCACAATCGTGCGATTCGCAAACAGCACAAGCAAACACAGCGCCAGCAACTGAATGAAGCAGATGCCTCCTAGAATACTGAGCACATACGGCCAATCCACATCCAACTGCTGGCCCTGCGACGGCACCACCATCTGCTTCGTAAGATTATACTTGACGCCGTGATCATCAAACGCAGCGACAGCGCCGATTGTAAACCGCATGAGCATATCCTCGACATCTTTCGCTCCGACATTCAGCGCAGGCGACCACTTCGACCCCTGACTATACGACCGCGATTGCCGATCCATCCACGAATTCCAGGGTATCCCCGTCCACCCTATCGCGCCCGCCGCTATACGCGCGAAAGCGTCGTTGCCGTACACGGCGGCGCGGTCTTCGGCGGAATACGTAGTGATGTCTTTATCGGCGTGGGCCTGGTATATATCCAGCAACGTGCTGTTGCAGAGGAAGAAAGACGTCGTGTTTACTTTACCGCCTTTGTCCTGGAGGACGGTGAAGTTCGTGCAGCGGGGGCCGCAGGAGGCAGGGACCGAGGCGGTCCAGGTTATAGAGCCGCTGGCGGCTTCGGTGAGGTAGTATTGCGAGTAGGCTTCTTCGTTGGGCCGGCGCGCGTTGACGTACATGCCTTCGTTGCCGGCGTCGACGACGGTGCCGTTGCCGACTTCGAGTTGCTCGCAGGTGGCGTGGGCCGAGACGTTACGGGAGCTGCTGAGGTAGTTGGTGTAGGGATGCGCGGGGTCGCGGTTGAAGAAGCGGTAGTGGTACATGCCGTCTGCCTCGTAGATGGGGGTGCCGGGGAGGCCTGAGAGGTCGTATTGGATGTCGCTGAGGTGGAAGACGGGGTAGGCTATTGCTTCTGTGCCGAATGTCCATGCGGCTTCGAGAGAGGTTTCGTTGGCGAGGCTGTTGATGCCGTCTTCGCGGGGGCTCTCGTCGATGTGCCAGACGTTTAGGTTGGCGACACTGACGTTGCCAGGTACGAAGAGAGGAATGCCGGAGTTGTCCATGGGCCAGAACAGACTGAGCAGCGCGACGAGGATCTGAGAGCCGATGTTGATGGAGAGCCATACTAGACATGCGAGCCACATCCACTTTGTGCCGTCGTCGCGTACGTCCTTGAACAATCGGAATCGACGTAGCCACTTCTTGCCGCGAAGCCCAGGCATTGAGATGACCATGAGCTTGGCGACTCTGGCGAGCGAGCCAAAGTGGAGGATGAGGTCGAACACCTCGAGGCTGACATACCGCTGAGCGAGGAACGACCATCGGAAGAAGGAGGCGTAGTGTTTGAGCGAAGCCAGTAGGTTGAGACCTAGACAGAGAGAAAGGCCAATGGTGAGCGAGTTGAAGATTCGAACGTCGTTCTTAGACAGCACAACGGGATTGATGAAGCCCTCCCAACCTCGGAGGATAAGACACATTGCGGCGCTGAAGAAGAAGGTTATCAAGAGCCGCCCAGCGCCATTCCTCAAAAGGTTTCTTCGTGCTTCATTATGATCAAAGCGCTTCGCATGGTGGTGGTCATGACGCAGTTTCTTGTGTTGTATTCCGCCCTCCAAATCCAATGCTGAAGTGCTTATCTTGGCATATGCACCGTTTTTAGTCTCTATTATCTCTGGAGAAGTGACCGTGGGTGGTGAGTAGAGTGAGCTATCGATTTGCTGCATGGTGATATTTCCACTGTCGTAGCTCGTTGCGTCAGAGGATGCTATCAGTGGCACATCGTCGTCGTGTGCGTTGCTGATTGCGCGACTGCGTTCCATCTTGTCCTTCCAAGGGACCAATAAGTTTGCGTTTCGAGTTTTGAGTCTGACAGTCAATACTAAAATCTGTGTAGAGTTGCACTCCTAGCACATGTTAGAAGAAGCAAAAAGGATCAGGATCTCAGCGTATAGGGCTGACAGAAGGCTGCATACAAGTCTGATATGAATGGTCAACCAAATTAAGTTGTATGCATGAGGCTCGTATATGCGTGGATCAAGCGGAGAAATACAAACTGCAGCGTCGTTGAAGAGGGCTGCCCCAGATTATCGTAATGGTTCTGATTGGGAAGCAGAGCAACGGTTGCGATGAAGATAGTTCTTAAACAAAACATGCCGTCCTTATCGACTCTTCGTCCTGTCCCACTAGCCATCGCGCTCGGATGCCGGGGTCGGAATTGGGGGCTGAAAGATGGTATGGGTGCGCCTCCTCAGGCCACCCACAAGGCTCTCACGTTCGACCTAAACAAGCTGAAAAGTGCGTAGACCGTGACTGGAGGGCAAGCGTAAGGTTACCATGGTACACGCAAGCACTTGATGGGCAGATGGATATTTTTGTTCTTGTAGCTCTTGTCTTTGCAAGACTACACGATCAGTAGTACATCGACACAGCCCCCGTGCTCCGCCACCAGGTATCACAGAGTTACACTCCCATCACAATATCAAATGCTGTGAAGCATATACCAGAAGCAGAAAGCCGTGCAGCCAGGGATGCCATTGTTAGATTGTGCAATTTGGTAGCCGCGAGACGATTCGACAAAGTAGATCTTGCCGTCGTGCATTTGTACTGGCGCAGCCACGTTTAGGGATCGTGTGGGGGCGAAATAACCACTACATGCTTGACGCGACAACAGGAAATCGCATGGTTGCGAAGAGGGTCTTCGGAAGCTTGAGTCCGTTATAGTTGAGAATATGTAGAGGTGTGTCAGGAACACATTGGGGTCCGCATAATGATTATGAGTCGTGGTGGGAGGAAAGAGTATCAACGGAGTTGCCAGATGTGGGAGGTGGGAATCATGAATTTGGCATTTGTGTGCGTGTAAGCATCACCCAGGTGTGGGATAAAGGCATAGAAACGTTGGTTGTGGCGCATTGCATCTGTTTCAGAGCAGTTTTGAAATGGTGAACGTAGTTGATTATGCAGGAAACTTGAAGGATAGGCTGGCATGTGTGAACGATGTTACTAAAGTGGGTCCGCAACCCCACGGCGAACCGCACGTTTTCAGGTGTCCAAAAATCCTGCAACATAACTCAATACTATTAAGCATTCGCTAAATAATTTGGCACTATCCTGTATCCGATACACAGTGCTTGATCGGAAGGATTCCGTAGATGTATGTCAGCGGAAAAACCAAGCAATGTTATCGTCCGTGGCCGGATAGATCATCACTTCCCCACATATGTACCACAGGATGACAAATGTAATACGGAGACCAGACGTGCAGTCTAGTGCCTGATACCGATGAAAAAGATAACTGATTGGTATTTCAATTCCTCTTCCAATTCCATCATCCCCCATCCTTCACCATCGACCACTAGCAACCATGTCCTCACCAAAAGTCATCCTCTTCGACCTCCCCAGCAAACAAGGCACAGCATGGTCTCTGAACCCTTGGAAAAGTACGCACTCTTCTTCCCCCACTACAGAATCAAATTTCGAAATGTTAAACAATCGCCCTCACAGCCCGCATGATCCTCAACTACAAATCCATCCCCTACAAAACTGAATGGGTCGAATACCCCGACCTCGCCCCCAAATTCAAATCCCTAGGCATCCCTCCCAACCCAGAGGACGCCCCAGGCTACTTCACCGACTACAGCAGCCCAGCAATCCAGTATGAAGACGGCACATACCAAATGGATTCGTGGCCCATTGCGCACTCCCTTGAGAAGCAATATCCGAATCCTCCCCTTCACCTCGATGAGCCGGTCGTAGTCAAGATCCGAGATCTCATTAAGGAATTGATTATGCCGCTGATTCCCTTGGTGCTGACACAGGTACCTGATGTGCTGTTGAATGAACCCAGTGCAAAGTACTTCTTGGAGACGAGAGCGAAGATCTTTAAGAAGCCGCTGCCGCAGATGCGGGAGGAGGCTGATGTGGAGAAGTGCTGGGCAGAAGCCGCTGTGCTGGCGAAGGAGGTGGGGGATTTGCTGAGGGAGAAAGAGGGACCATTTTTTCTAGGGGAGACGGGTGAGTTACATACAGCTTTGTGTGAGAAACTGTGGGATGCTAACGCGGGGATGTAGTGTCGTATGCGGATTTTATTTTTGTGACTTTGTTGCAGATGTTTAAGCGGGTAGATGAAGGGGTGTTTGAGAGGTATTTAGCGCTTGATGAGACGTTTCCTAAGGTCTTTGAGGCGTGCAAACAGTGGATGGACAAGCAGGATTAGTTTTGGAATTGTGAAAATGAACAAGGACAATAAGGTTGGAAAAGTAGGATGTGGTTTGTCTATAAATCTATCATATCATATATGCTCTCCACGTACGAACAACGGTGTACTTGTCCTCTCCAAGATGTATACAATGTTGCATACCTTTGGCCTGTATGTCACAGAGCCGTCTTTCTCATCGACCTGTGCTTGAGATTCTACATCGTCGATTTCGCGCCGTTCGATCAAGTGCCACAAGTCAGCAGGACGCGGGAACATCATACCTTTGGGAACCACATCTGACGCAGCATCAAGGACATCAAAGCGGTCTTGCGAGTATGACAAGGCTATCCAGCGGGCTCCGGGTTTTGTCACGAGTGCCAAATTGACAGCCATGACAGCCAATGGGTGTATGGGTTCCTGGGATGCAGCTGAACTCAACTGCACGGGATCATGGGAACGGATTGCTACGGGATATGGCACTGGGACAGAGATATCGTCGCAACAAGCAATGGCGTCGGATGTCGACTTGTCGACTACAACAGAATACGAAGCACGCGAGCATGCACGCAGCAAAGACTTGTAGTCAAGGAGATCGACAAGGTCCCAACGCATACAAGGCGCATGAGTACCCTGGGTATTGCCTTTTTGCTGGCTCTGATACTGATATATTTCTTCTTCGCGGGCCTTGCCAATCTGTATGGCCACGTCAGAGTAGTCCAAGTTGTGGATCTGGCCCGGGCGGTCTACGTGGGAGCGCAAATGCAAAGAGAGCAATGATGTCCCACAGCCTATGTGCAGAATCTCGGGTTTACCCGCACGGCTGGAATCCAGAGCATCGACAAGGTAGGGATCCAGGGCATTGGGCTCCTCCAGCCAATCAAAGGGATCCATGTTGGACGTGAAGCGCTCGTCCCAGTAGGCTTGGGATCCAAACGAGGGTGGGGGATTGGAAGGCATTGGTAATAACCTGGAAGGAATTGGGGTCCGAACTATGTGTATTGCGTAGGTATGTCAGATATGTCATGTGCAAAGATGAAGCAAGGAAGAAGAGAAGAAGTACAGAGATGGGCCGGCCCGAGCTTTCTCCGCGCATCTGAAGATCTTTGGGATCCCCACGACCATGTGAACTCACCCACACACCCACACAACCCATGGCTACCCTCGAATCGATACCACGCTTCCTCCTCCCGCGGGGGTCTCTCCTCCTGCGAGTGCAGCCCCGCGCATTTACTCAACTCCCCGCTCCAGCCACCCACCGCCGCCATGCCTCGTCCATCTCACCAAAAGGCCTCTCCGAAGAGTTTCGAAGACGGCGAGAGGTACAGCAGGCCAGAGGCACGCCCGTGATACCCCAGCCCGACAAATACCGCCCGCCCTCGCACAGCAAACGTGCGCCTAACCGCCAATTGGAGAACAGAGTCTATGGAGCGCCCTTGTCCGAGGACGACCGCAAGCGCATGGCAAACAAAAAGTACCCCAACATGATGAGTCCCGAGGGCACCTTTTCGCACTGGTTTCTGCACAACCGCGCAATTCACCTGTGGATCACAATGGTGTGTTTTGCGTCATACAACTCTCTATACAACCCCCGCTGACCCCACTTCGCAGGGCATTCTCGTTTCCCTCGCAATAGCAGCATGGTACATGGATTTTATCTCCAAGACCAATTTCGGCCATTTGCTCCCTACGCGCAAGGACTTTATGCGTCACCCTATTGAGTCGTCGTCGCGCTTCGTGGAGGTCTACAAAATGCATATGGAGCACACGTCGCAGATGTATCAGCAGCAGCGGCTGAAGAAGGCGGAGGAGATCGAGAAGAGGAAGCAGTATAGGCTTGAAAGGCAGAAGGAGGCAGAGGAGAAGGGAGAGGAGTATGTCGAGGATCCGAGGTATTATGTGGGTGAGGATGGTATTCGCAGGAGGAGGGTTAAGAGGTGGTTTGGTATCTGGGAGTGAGGGCGGAGTTTGCCGTGTTTTCGGGCATCGTGAGGCTCGGTATCGGAGTAAAAAATGTTGAGGGAGCACTGCGCCACGGCGGTGGGTGGTGTTGGGCAGTCATAGCGGAAGATGGGCGTGAGTGGTGAAGTCGAATCGCAGACTGCATCGAGCAGGTCTGTTTCAAGAAGTGTACGTTACGACATGTAAGATATAGACTATTAAGCCTGTGCAGCAAACCACATCTGCACCTCTCCATTGAAAAACTCTACGCTTCGTCATCGTCATCCCCCCTCCAACCCTCCCACACCTCATCCCCAGGCGCCATTCCCTTCTCCACTCCCTCAACCCCACAAAGTTCATCCAACTCCCTTGGTACCCTCCAATTTCTCATACCCTCCACCCCCGTCGCAAAAACCATCATAAGCCCCGCCTCACTATGCCATCCAATATGGCAATGAAACGCCCACACTCCCGGATTATCTGCCACAAAACTGATAACCATCCACCCGTACGCCTCTACGCTCGCCGTATCCCTTCTTAGCGGATTCGTCATGTCGAAATTTTGCTCGTGGAGGGGAGAAGGAGGATACCCATGTCCTTGAGCTAGTACGAAGAATTTGTAGCCGTGGAGGTGGAAAGGGTGGGCTCCGTCGTCGAAGTTTTGGATTAGGAGGGTAATTGTTGATGTGGGGGAGGTGGTTTGGTATGTTAGTTGCTTTTCTGAGGATACTAAGGGTGAAAGGCCATCTTGTGGTGTTTCTGTGCTGTTGGTGGTGGTGGCGTAGGAGGAAAGCAGGGTTTGAAGAAGCGGCGCAGTGCTGTTTATTCGGAAGGAACTGTCGTTTAGATAGCCTCGGGTCAGGCGCCACTCACGGGTTTGGAATGAGGAGCGTAGGTAGAGCGTGTGGTCCGGGTCGATGGGGGGTGCCGCGATGGGGATGGTGGGGACGAGGAGGGAGGTGTTTAGGTCGCGGCATTCGACGTCAATTATCTCCGGCCAGTCTTTGCTTTCTGGTGCTGGAGCTTGGTCGTTGCCTATGTTAAGGGAGGGAGAGTAAGATAGCACGGCTCGGACTTCCTCTTGTAACTCGGGTTCTTCGTATGCGAAGCAGTGCGTAACCATCCTCGCTCTGATCCAATATTCTCCTTTGTTTCCTTGCTCTTGCTTCGGTGGAGTAAGAATGATGCTATACCGTTGTGCAGGACTAATGTTCAAGCGGTGAATTCCCATCGGTACAACATCCGCGCCATCGACTTCTGTAACAAACACCTCATGCTCATCAATCTGCAGCGCGAACTCTGCGAATGCACCAACGTTGATAACGCGAAGTCTCGTCCTAGTCTCCGGGGAGACATTAAACACCGCGTTACGCCGGTCCGTAGCATCGCATTCTCTGCCCGGCAAGTCATTGCACTTGCGTTTTCCGCGTCCATTGATAAGCGCAGCTTGCGGAACAGGCTCGTCGTTTTCGTTTCCAGGTGCCAGGTATCGCTGCAGCAAGACTGAAGAACTATCATAGTAGTGATCTGAAAGCATGACCACACGATCTTGGGTATACTCCATCTTTTGCAATGATTCCCCCTCGCTCCGCCCGTGGATTATCAGCGGACCAACTAGTCCATCCGATGCTTGCATACTGGCATGTGAGTGGTACCAATACGTCCCCGATTGGCCCGAGACGCGGAACCGATAGGTAAATGAATGGCCAGGCGCAATAGGGCATTGTGTTATGCCTACTGTGCCGTCCATCCAGTTTGTCTCGTTTTGATACAGGCCATGCCAGTGGATAGATGTTGCGTTGCTGGCGTGATTATAGATGTGCACAACGATTTCGTCGCCTTCATTGCATTCAATCAATGGGCCCGGGAAGGTGGCGTTGATGAGTGTCATAGGGCGGTAGACGCCGTCCGGGTTGAGCGTGTGGTCTGAGATTATCCATGTCTGTTCGCGTGTTGTGGGTGGTGCATTGAAGTCCCATATTGAAGAGAGGATATAATCTTCCTCTGGCCGTAGACTTGTTGTGTTGGGGACCGTGGGTGATGTCTGAGGCGAGGGTTTGCTTATCACAATTTTGTGTGTGAGGACAAGGAGTGTGCATGTTAGGAGAATGACAATGAAAATGATCTTGATCCAATGCCGCCGCCTTGCACCATATGGTGTATTTCTAGTTTTGCTCCTCCAGTCTTGTTCTTGCTCAACTTCTGAGAAATCATCGTTGTTCATGTCATCGTATTTAGAGTCGTGTAATAGGCCAATGTGCTCTTGCATCTCCCGCGGAGCCGTGTCGAACATGTCCTTCATGTGGAAACTCTGGCCGTAGCCCATAGTGAGTATCTTGCTAACTCTTCCTCTCCAATATCTCGGATAGGAAACGGTGCTGTTAACGTGTGATCCGACAACGTCTAGCGTCGCTAAGTCGAGTCGAAGCAAACCAATAACCAAGGATCAGTCCATCATGTTTCCCATGGTCCCTGGAACAAGAAACCAGAAATCCATGACTTCCCTCGCCACCCGTAAGAAATGCATAGGGATCGTCACTCACATGTCATTCAGGGCCCCTGACCAGCTCTCGTGCGCATGTCATGTTCTATCTTTTGTGTGCGTCCTGCAATACCCGCCAACTCCTCTAATCCAATCAGCCCCGCACGTTCAGATGCGGGATCCACATAAAGCTTGTCGACCTTCCTAAAAAGCTTGGCCTTGTGTATGCATGCGAGCTGCTTGCTCTAGCCATATGCCACGGGCGAATTATCGACATGTTGATTGGTTGTGACGATATTAGCACTACTGCAAGATGTATGCCAGTGTGCCGCTTGATGCAGTGTAACCAAAAAAATGGAAGAAAAAGACAGACGGCGTCCGAACTTTCTTGAGATGTTTGTTAGGATCCGAGGTTACTCTTGGTGGTATTTGTGAGTAAGTATAAGGGTCCATAAATACGAAGTAGCAATTTAAACCCTGACATACTTGACAGATCTACACTGTCGCCATGAGAACTCCGTTCATCCTCTCGCTGGCCCTTTTGGCAAACCTAAGCCCCGTTTCAGCCCAGACAACAGTCAAAGGCAAGGCATTCGACCGCATAGCTATAATATGGCTTGAAAATACAGACTACGATCTCGCAGCCGGCGACCCAAGCCTAGCATGGCTCGCGAAAAAGGGCATCAGTCTGACAAATTACTTCGCCGTCACACATCCCTCCATGCCCAACTACGCAGCCGCGATATCCGGTGACTACTACGGCATCAACCACGACAGCATGGTCGCCATTCCTTCCAACGTCTCCACGCTCGTTGATCTACTGGAGGCCAAAGGAATCAGTTGGGGCGAGTATCAGGAAGACATGCCATCTGTTGGCTTCCAAGGAAAATCTTATCAGAACCCTCAAACCGGAGCGAACATGTACGTGAGGAAACACAACCCAGCCGTTTTATATGATTCAGTGGCACAAAAGGCGGACCGGCTAGCCAAGACAAAGCCATTGACCATGTTCAAATCGGACCTGGAAAACAACAAATTACCGCAGTGGATGTTCATTACACCCAACATGACCAGCGATGGTGAGTCCTCCATACACACCCACGCCTTTTAGGCATCCGCCAGCAGCCATACTGACAAAAATCACAGGTCACGACTCCACCGTCACAGTCGCAGGAACCTGGACCCGAAAATTCCTCGAACCCCTACTAGCAAACAAAACCTTCATGAACAACACCCTCGTCCTCGTCACATTCGACGAAAACCACACCTACGGCAAGCAGAACCGCGTCGTGGGCATCTTACTCGGAGACGCCGTGCCCGCGAGCCTCGTCGGCACAAGCGACAACACGTATTACAACCACTACAGCGAGATTTCCACCGTGCAGGCAAACTGGGGTCTCGACACCCTGGGCCGCTGGGACGTAGGCGCAAACGTGTTCAAGTTTGTAGCTGCGAAGACGGGGGATGCGGTGCGAGCGTGGTCTGGCAAGGTGCCACTGAGTAACATGTATTTCAATGCTTCGTATGCGGGTAAGCTGAACAACAAGAATACGTCTGTGCCGTGGCCGGTACCGAATACGAATGCCGTGTATGCGGGGAGAAGCGTGTTGCCAGAGATTGCTGATGTATGGGGGAAGCAGGTTGATCGGTCTGCGTATACGACTGCGTTGGAGATTCCGGATGGGATGCACCCGGAGGCTGAGTTTAAATAGTGGGATATTTTTGTTGTATATACAGAGCCCGATGGTCCGTGGCCTTTTCCACCGCACCGCTGATATATTATACCGCCCATTGACTGCGAGCCGCAGCTTTGGTTTCCTCTTTACTCTTCACGTTCCTCCGCAGCACAGCACCCACAATCTGTATCCTACACACATCTGCATACGCGCCCTTTCCAATCTCCTCAGGCCACATATCCGGATGCAAGATTTTATACTCGGCAAGCTCCCCGTCTTCTACTTGTTTCAGCTTTTCCAGGAAAGCATCGTGTCCGGGGTCGGCAGTCGGTATCGCGACACCCGTGTATACGACAATGACTCCGTTCGAACTCAAAATTTTGATACCTTCTTCCACAATACGAATCGAGATGTCTAGACCGAACCCCGCACCACCATCTGCATAAATGGGCAAATCCTTGCCATCGACACTAGAAGCGATGTACGGCGGATTACTCACGATGAGATCAACTCCTCTTCCCTTCATCTCTTCAGGCAAAGAAGTATAAAGGTTTGATTCGGAAAAGGTGACTTCGACTCCTGCCAATTGCGCATTGACACCACCCAAGCTCAGTGCTTGGGGATTCAGATCCAGACCTAGTACTTTTGCCTGCGGGTACGTTCGTGCTATGTGGATCGCCCCTGCACCGGATCCGCAGCATACATCGATGGCCAAGCTTGGCGCTTGTGGGAGATACCGCGGCAGGGTCTGCAAGAACGAAATAAAGAGATATGTGTCTGGGCCGAAGAATACGGAGTTTGAGGAGGCTGGGAAGGAAGAGTGGATGTAGTAGAGCGAGGTGGTGTCAGGGTCGCGGTTCAGAGGGTCTTGTAGGTAGAAGTTTGACACGCGGATGGTGGAGCGGTACATTTTATTGTTGTCTTCGACAATAACTGAGGATTTGCATAGTTGTTCGAAAATTGCATCGGGTATCATGGATTTGAGTGTTTCTCTGGGAGCGCATTAATCTCGTTTGGAATGGGATTCTTCAAAGTGCTTAACAAAACTTACCTTGCGCATGATAAATTCCATCCAAAGAAATCCGATGCAGTCTGCGCATCTTTGGTCGAGACATTTGAGTGTCGTTTTTGCACTACTCTGCCCTGAGTTTCTGGTGAGGGGCATACAAAGACATAGTTTGATTTTGCCAAGTGTCGGGTGAGTGCCTGGAAAGCGGTCGATTCCGTCATAATCGGTAGAATAATGCAATTGTTATTCCGTGGAGGAATTTGCAACGCAACGTGGGCAGAGACGCGGCCGTGTTGTCTAGACCGAAGCGCGTGGTTAAAATGAATGGCATGCAGACAGGTACACTACGCCGCGGAGCGTAGGACTAGTCAATGTGACGTCGAGTTTTTATATTAGACTACAATGACGAGGTTTGCTTTTATCCTGCTCGCGCCTTGGCCTACGACAACGGAAAATCATTCTCGGAAAGGCGATGCCGTACAGAGTAAATGCGAATGGTGAGAATGCAAAGAGCCTCTGCTTTTTTGAGTGATACTCGCGCTAAACCGGTGCAAGGGTGCTAGTACGCGCAAAATGGGCAACGATGGTGGCAGAAATAGACATTTTGTGCATTGCGGGGTGCGTCCTGGCTAACCCCATGTCGTCTAGCTTATGATCGTATGGGTCCGCGATGATATTGACACGGCGGGTACCAGCTGAATTGTACACCGTCACCGTTGGCAGCATGATTTGCGCGGCGCATCTACCCACAGATGGATCCTCCGCCACATCTGGCCCGACTATGGAGAATAAATGTATAGCATTCCCCGGCGGCCAGCTTGAGGGTTCACTTGTACTTGTGAACATTACAAAACACAACACTGCCACGCCACAATGTATATTCTTCAAACAACCACAGCTGTTCTGATTGCATTCCTTGCGATTCTTGCATACAATGAAGTTAGGAATCGTTTGGTGAGAAACTGGCCTAGGAGAAAAGACTTGGAAACACCACACAGTCCTATAAGACCTGTTGCCAGCGATATCAAGCCATTCATTCCGGACCACAGTTTGAACAAGTCTCTTGATTCCGTTGAACCGGATGTCATCGATGAAGATCTAGCAAGATTCAAACAGCTCTACTACAAGCTACACAATCTGGAGTATTACCCCGAAATTATACCCGAGTGTCGCGAACTGCTTTTGGGCTTATTCTCTTCAACGATTGCCGACGCAATCAAGGAACCAGACAACACTATTCTATCTGTCGAGCGCTTTTCACCGGACAGTCTGAAAGGCTTTCTTGCAGCAAAAGATGTCGATGTCACTAACCGGTGGGAGGAGTACCTCGCTCGGCGGCGGGGTGGAGAGCCGCGTGAGATGTTCGGAGACAAAGAGGAGGCGAAATGGTGGCTAAAACAAGCTGCCCCTGTCAAATACGTGGATGGTGCCTGGCTTGGACACATTAACAAGATTAGCACACCGTTCAAGTACCGTCAGATTACCAAGAACGCTTGGCAGGTTATGTCTGAAGAACTGGGAGACGGGGATGTTGCAAAGAACCATGTCCATGTCTACCGGGAGTTGATGGAAGACATTGATGCCAGGCTACCTGAGGCCGATTCGCAAAATTTCATTCATCCCCGCCATGGATTGAACGAAGTGCGTTGCTGGAAAGCCGCCATGGCCCAACTCACAATATCCCTCTTCCCACACGACTTTCTGCCCGAGGTCCTGGGGTTTAACATGGCGTACGAGAGTCTACCTCTCCATCTACTGAAGACCGTCAAGGAACTCCGTGAACTACGCCTGAACCCGTATTATTTCGAACTCCACATATCCATTGATAATGCAGACTCGGGTCATGCCGCCATGGCCATGGCTGCAGTGTCAAACTACATAAACTTAGTAGCAGAAGACCAAGGCGAAGAAGCAGCTCACATTGCTTGGAAACGTGTTCAAGCTGGATACATTCTTGCCGAGGGCTTACCTACGACACCCGAGAGTCCATCACTCAAGTCAAAAGTCGAGGAACCGTTCCCCCGCACCGACACAGAAGCCCAAGTAGTTGCCATCTATGCAGCCAAAAGCTCCGTCGCCCACAAAATTCACTGTAACAGCCGACTTAAAATCGGCAGACGTTCCCTCGTAGATTGGCTAGAACCAAACGCCTTCAAAAACCCAACATGGCAGCGAGACTTCCTCCACGACCTCAGCAACTGCAAACCCTGGGTAATCAAAGGCCACAGCACCCAAAGTCGGCTCATCAAAGAACTGTCCTGGGAAGGCAAAATGTTCGGCAGCTTCACCGAAAACGAAGTAGGCATCGTCTCCGCCTGGATCAACGAGCTCGCTTCCCCACCAGCCGCAGTCGCAACTTCGGACCTCGATGCAGAAAAAAAAGCCTACTACTGGGACTTTACCGGCCAAATCTCCGAACCCGATGATAACAATGTCGACGTCGGCTTGCGTGCAGAGCGCCTGGACATTCTTACCCACTACCCGGTTTTTCGCCCGCAGGAGCATCTCACGGATCTTGCTGCGCGCCTATCGAGCGATCTTGCAATCGACTGCGTGCCGAAATTTGAATTTAGTAAATTGCATCTAGGCAGTCTGCTCCCGCTATGGTTCGTGTCGCCGGCGCTGCTAGAAGGCCTACCGGCCGTGCCTGTTCGCGCTGCGAGCACGTTTGGATCTGCTGTTGTTCGTATTCTGCGGGCTCAAGCTGGGTTCAGCGCTGAAGGGGTGGGCGTAGCGGGCATGGATGAGGTGCACCGAACCGATGATGGCGAGGCGGTTGGCATCGTGGAGCTTGGCTTGGAGTTGTGCCGTAATGCAGGCATCCAGCAGCCGTGTGATTTGCGCAAGGCAGTGTCGCTGGGCGAGCCCGAGTCAGCTGCTTTTGCGGAATGGATGATTGCGACGAGTATGCGGTGGCTCGTGCATCGGGATGCCCTTATTGGTATGACTTGGGCGTTTATGGAACTACACGAGGCCTGGGCCCAGTGCAAAGGAGAAGTCACGTTGTTATCTACCAGGAGCATCGCGATCTTGCAGGAGATTGCGATTAGAGAGAGGAAGAGTCTGCAAACATGTAGGAGCGAGATATACCAGCATAGTCAGCGTCGGGTGGATTTTCTCAAGGGAGTTGCAATTGGTCGGCAAGCTGTCGAGTCATGTTTTACACAAGAGGAAGAAGTCACTCAAAGGTAGTAGATGGAAATGGGGGGTTTGAAGATAAATTGAAGAATCAATTGATGCCTCACGCAATGCCAAAGAGCCAAACCTAGTGGCCCAAAATAATATATATACGAATTTCACCACAAACTGAGCTATATACAATCTCCCACACAAAAATTCATTTACAATGAAGGTACCTCGCCAGGAGTCGAGCAAAGGGCGCTCTACTTCTTGAGGGTAAGGAGACCGGGCCTGTAGGGGAGGCGGTCGTAGTCGCCGCCAGAGTTGGGGGCACGGCCCTGGTACAACAGCTGCAGGTTGCAAGGGTCGACGGTCATGGTCTCGTCGTTGGTGACCTTGACAAGGTCACCGTGGGAGATATCGTTGGTCCAGGTGGCACCGCTGTTGGCCTTGCCGGCGAAGGGGTTGCTCTCAGTGGCGGCGTTGGGGGTCCAGCTGCCGTTGAGGCTGGAGGCAGTGAAAGAGCGGAAGTAACGGCCGCCAGAACCCATAGCCTCAACGATCATGAGGTAACCGCCGCCCTTGACAGTGTAGACCTGAACAGCCTCGAAGAGGTTGTTGGTGGTGTCGCTCATGATGACGGTGGAAGCAGTGCCGAAGCTGCCAGGGAAGTTGCCCTTGGGCATGCTGGAACGGTAGATCTTGCCGTTGTCACCGGCAAAGAAGAGGTACATGTTGTTGGCGTCACCAATGACAGTCTGGTCAATAGCGCCAGTGCTGCTGCCGGTGATCTTGCCGGAGAAGAGAGTCTGGACGGCACCCCAGCTGTTGGGGTTGGTGGGGTCGCTGGAGGTCCTGTAGGAGAAGGTGGTAGGTCCCCACTGGTAGGCCATGACCCAGATGTTCTTGGGAGCGAAGCGGAAGAGGGTAGGGGCAACAGCAGTGAAGGAGGTGGCAACCTGGGAGGCAGAGGCCATCTCGTTGAAGCTACCGAAGGGGCTGAAAGCCATGGATCCGTACTTGGATCCAGTGTCGTGGTTGGTAGCATAGACAATGTGCTTGCCGTTGATGCTGGAGATGGTGAAATCCTTCAAGTTGGCCCATCCGGACTTGGGCTGGGCAAGAGCGCCGGAGGAGGTCCACTTGTAAGAGGTGGGAAGCTTGCAGCTCTGGGCCGAAGCAGTGGAAGCCAGAAGGGCGACGGCAGCAGCCGAGAGGCTAAGGTCGGGAACGAAACGCATGTTTGGTTTTTGGGGGGGATTGGTAGTTGGTTGGTTGAATGAATGAATGTGTTGCTGGTGAGCTGGATGACTATTAGAACGAGGGCGTGTATAAGATACTTATACCTTGAGCGATGCTGTCGGGCCTACGAATCAGAAGGCATGCCGTGTATCACGCCTTGCCCACATAGCACCTGAGGGTTGGCCGATTCGGGACTGGGCTCGGGAACACAGATCTCCTGAGCGTGGAAATTGATCATCCACATTATGCGTCTACTCTCGGTATGGCATATTGTTCCGTTGTTGTGGGTATATTAAATTACATGATGTTTCAAGGGAATTGACGCGACTGCACGGACGGCAATTCTCCGTAATGCGGGGAACGCACGGCAAAGGGCACGTAGGACTGCAGAAACAAGTGAGGCTGGGCGATTCCTTAATCTACTACTATATGCATGCTTAAATCCTAATGCAGGTATGTGCTGCACCCCATTCGCCTAACCCGTTAGCTTGGCGACTATGTTTTGACGTCGACATCAATTCATCTGGTCTTCTACCGGCCAACTACCAAGACTGTGCCAACATGCTGCCAACAGCCTGGGTAGGCCCTCTTGGGCCGAACAAAGAAACTTGCCCTGTCGCGCTGATTGCCAGGCCCCAATCTCGGCGCTATTGCTCCAAAAAGTCCCACCGGGTGTTTACCAGAATCCATGAGTGTTCCTATCGGATGCTAGTCCCCGCTAGAGCGAAACGTCAACACGCAATGAAACACCCGGTGGCCGGAATCTAGAAGCATGGGTGCCAGTGGCGCAAAAGTGCCACCAGTCGAAGGGCTGCCTTCGCTGCGCCCACAAGTCAAGACTTGGACTTAGCGGGTTTGAGGTTTGGCATTGCTTAATTGATGGCGCATGGACAGCTAGGGCGCGAGAAATTGTCCCTACACCTACGTCAACAGTGCCCTGCGCCTTAATCACGCAAACTGGAAGACGACGATTATCTTGCTACCGCAGGGAGCCGCAGCCCAGTCAGTCATCGGGACCGAACGCAAGCCGCCCAAAGGAGGCGCATCCGCAGTTACGATAACTAGTATAACTGACGCAAGACTATCCCGCCATAAGCAAGGGGACTTTGCCACTGGGCACACTCAACTCCACTAAACAACTTTCACTGTCAATGGCCAGGAAACACGTGGAAGGAGGGCTAGCTTCTAGATCGACTCGCGGAATTTGTTCGGCCGCACAGATTAAAAAGTAGCGGTAACCACAGCGCTTGGATTGTGCGCAGTAGCCTTGCCAAGGCGGCTTTGAGCGTTGCCAATGTAACTCGGCCCACCTACCAAGCCCATGTCTAAGGAGCGTGCTGGACAAAAGATGCTCAAAAATGCTACTTGCAAACCGGCTTCGTCTCCCAAGGGCGAATTCTTACCGCCCAACCAACATTAAACAGTACGTAAACAGTAACTTGGCCCATTGGGCCCCTGGTAAACAACAAGCCGGTATCAATCTTTCGCAATCCATCAAATCTTGAACTTTGAACCTTTTCCACGCCGCTTGGCACATCTCCACTATTGCACCGGCAGAAGACTACTTACAAATCTTCCGGAATTCGCCCGCCAATAGCCGTTCCTGCGAGGTGGGGGCAGTGGATTCTCTCTATCTGGGGTTTTCTCCACGTCGGCTTTTGAACATCGCAAAGCTAGTAAAGTAGGTGCTGGGCGCCCAGAATACGGGTGGGACCCCCGAACACTAAGAGAGCAGCTCCTAAGAGATAAAGATGAAAATCCTCTGTAGCAGTACAGTGCCCCATGGGGCAGTGTCGTGATAGGCTTAGGCGCATGCACTCCTGATTCCTTCTAGCTGCGTGATGATGCTAGATTGCCGGCATATGCGCTATCTGCACTGTACGTATATGAGTGATTATTTCCGACTGGAGGACTTAGTCCTTCCATTTGGTAATTGGTTCATTTTACCTGCTAGCCGCTTATGCGGTATCCGAATTGTGATCCTTTTTTTTTCTCCATAGCTTTTCCCCATTACAGATTGATCCGGCTAATACGGACGAACACAGCATCCGAAGTTCAATTGAAAACAACATGGACTGGGCAAGTTCTTGTTTCGATCATACTGACAAATGTCTCTGTTTCCTGACTCAAGCCTCGTCGTCTACCTACGTTAAACAAAATGTCACTACCCAGTGTAGCATCTCTACCCACCCGCTACAGGACTAGTCTTGAAAATACTTAGAGTGACCTATTAATAGGCGTCTTATACGTGCTAGTTAACACATAATAGCGCGTGCATCATAAGAACGCCAAACAACTTGGTTGTGCGCCACGAACGCTGTTCTAGAATACGCACCGCCAAGACCCCCAGTGACATGTGCGCACGTGACACGGACTCTCATGTCCAAAACATCTGTAACAGCTGATGAAACAAAGCAGACTGACTGACAACTGATGGAAAACGGGTCAGCAAGTACCCAAGACTCTATTTGTGGCTTACGCGGATGATGTCCTGACGTTTGTCGTTGTTCTGTAACGACCTGTAACATGTAGCTTACATTTAGACTTTTTTGTTATCCCGCGATCGGCCAAAGTTTAAATGATACCGGCTAGCTGGCACCAAAACAACTCACGGGATTTTCGCGTAGGGTTACTCGGGACGATTACGAGGTCCCCGGTGTACTTGCGTTTGTGCCTGGGTTTACAAGCTGTGATATAGACATGGTATGGCAAACTATAGTCTGGAAGAATTCTGATTCACTGTAGCGGCGAATATGCCCGTTTGGGTAATTCATATATTGCTCACTGTACAGTGATGGTGTGATGTCTTCATTTCCAACGTTCTATTAAGTAGGTATCCACAAAGCGCACTGATATTGCAGAATAAGCTCCATCAAGCAATGTGCGCAAGGACAGATACAACGTTGTTGCATCATGGGCCCTGGCGCACTTGGATTCATTTTATAACTACTCCAAATCAAAAAGAATCGCCGTCGAATGTCCAGTAACTGCATATGCAAGTATGATGACTTGAAGCCCTTGCTGAGAATGCATGTCGCAATCAAGAAGGCGTAGGATAACCGTTGATTTTAATATTCTGAAAGAATCCAAGATGAGTGCGCTCAGTATAATGAGTTTTCCCACTCCTATCGGTCAGACTGATCCTTCGTTGGTGGAAAAATCTCCCCGAACTTCATGGGTGTCCGCAAGCTAGAAGTAATGCCTAGGATATCATCAATAAGATATCTGAAACACAGTGAGCATGTGCACATACTCATGATTGTGTGCTCTCCTATATCGCAGTACCTGTCTCATCACCAACGGGGATAGTGAATTTTGCGTGTCCAATACACACGGGTTCCAGTCACTTGTCGATTTTCATCTTGTGTGTATCTCTACTTGTTCATAGGTAGACGCCATCGTCACCCTCATCTTGCGCTGCGGTGCCGTTGGTGCCTTCTTCCCTCGCCGCGCCATTCGTCGCAGTAGGCGCACTTCCATTCGTTTTTCCATCGTCTTCCTTTGGCCTCCAAGGCAGACCTCGAACGTCCTGTACCTCGTGCTTGATGGCTTCTTTCCTTTCTTCAAACCTTTTCATAACCTGCTTGTTTTCCAGAAGCGCTTCGTAGCAGTCTCTGTCATCATGTTCGCGCGCAAACTCCTCAAGTTGCTGATTGCTTGATTCGAGATGCATGAGCTGATTTGTGAGTTCCGAGTATTTCGCGTAGAGCGATTCAACAGAAAGGTCTTCGAGCGCTTTTGAGAACCGTGTGAAGGAGATGGGCGCAGCGTCGGCAGACATGGTTGATATGAATACGGGAAGCTGGCCTGAAATTACGGATGTGTTTCTAGGTTGAGTAGTACTGTGGAAGTGACGAGTGGCCCGTAGCTCTTTGTGAGAGAAGTTTTAGTGCGAAGATGCGGTGGTGGCGGAAGTCCAAAGGTAAAGCTGTTATTGCCCAAAAGTTGTAGGTGGGGTAGCTGACGCCATGAACAATTAACCCCACTTCACTCACGATTGTTCCAGTGAGTGAGTGATTACGAAGTTATACGTAGAAACAACGTCCCAACGTTTTCGGTATTTGATGAAGACGAACACACTAGAAATGACTCCGTAAGCTTTTTGCATTAACTATATATTTACGTAAACTTCATTCATCCTTAAATCATGGCACTTTGGCGGAGTGGTTAACGCGCTGGCCTGCTAGTCCCATTCGGGAAAGTCAGCCAGTTCCTTCGGGAGCGTGTGTTCGAATCACACAGGTGTCGCACCAACCACGCATTACTTTTTGCCTTTTGTTAGGCACTCTACATAGTTATTATGTGGGTGCTCCTTGAATTTTTGTTTCTTGCATGGAACTTTGATGCAGATAGTTGATCCTCCAGTCTGTGTAACAATTTTTGCAGGATTTAATATTCATATTGAATTCCAAGAACACCAAGTATCGTAATTGGCAAACAACAAACGTATAAAAATGGTAGGAGTACAGAGCTTCCTACGTTCAGGAAACTAGCTGTTTACAAAAAAATCCATTGTCAGGATATCATGATCCCTGCAATACTTGTATGCTACTTATAATATTTCCAAATCAAATAAGTTGTCTTCATGACGAATAAATCCAAATTAGCAAAAAGGCGCTGCACATGTAAGGATAGATCAATAGAACAATATCACGAATGAAATTCTCCTGTATTTTAATAATACATGGTACTTGATTGATATTCTCTAGAACTGTCTCCACTACCTACCTGGGTTCATACCAGGCATAAGATCCGGCTTATCGAGCACCATACCCCTAAGCAGAATCCACTGTCTCAGACCCTCCCATTCCTCACCCTCCTCATCACCTCGTCTCCACTCTTCCTTGAACCCCCATGCACACGCGATGCGATCCAACGCAGCACGCTCATCCTCTCTCAGATAACGGTCCAAAAGGGGAACACCGGGTCGCCAGACCACTCGATCGTGGTGGTCGTTATACGTAGTCAAGGCGACAAAGCCAAGAGTACCGGTACACATGACATAAGTACTCAGACCAGCGAAAGCGTAGAGTTTGAAAGTCCACGGGTCGATGAAGCTGCTGTATACAGAAAGTTCTTGTGCAATCATGTAGAGAGCGAGGGGTGTGATGCCCGCTAGAACTCCGGGAAGACCCAATTTGGTGACCATGCGATGACGCCGCCAGGCAGGGGCGCGGTAGGTGTGGTCGACGACATCCAAGGCTAGGGCAAGGTCCTTTGCGTCGATTGCGGCCGTGAGCGCTTCGTCGGCGAGATCGGCGGGAATGGCCTGCTTTGCGGCTTTGGGGGAGGAGCGAGAGAATTTGGGGGGCGAGGAGCCTTCGACTGGGACGGACTTGTTTGCATAGAGGTAGAGTGCTTCTGGGATGGTTTTTGGGTGGGCGAGGAGTCGCTGGAGGTGGATGTATATGGCGAGGACGTTGGGAGAGAGGAAGACTTTCTCGTGCTTGATTAGGTCTTCTGCGAGCCTGGAGAGGTAGGATGGCGATGGGAGTGCATCGAGGCCTAGCTGCTTTGATATTGTTTTCTTCTCAGTCTTTCCAACGTCATCACTGCCGAGCCCGGAGAGTATTGCTCCCGCTGAACTCTGTCTTATGGGCCTTTTTGTTCGCAAAGGCTGTCGAGACCGTATTGCTATCGCGTTTTGCGCAATCTCTGTTAAACCTTCGAGTGCCTCCAAGACCTTTGCCTCTGGCTCCACCTTGGGAGAATCGTAGATTTCTTTTATTCGAGCCTCCACCGCGGCCAAATTTGCTCTCAGCGTTGCGATGCGCTCCGACGTCTGAAAGCTTTCGTCATCGACTCTTTCAGCTGCTGGTACCGCCTTCCGGGCAGTCGTCGTAATGCTCCGTACGTGTGCCCGGCTAACTAGAGAGGATGATGGCGCAGTTTGCCGCCGTGTCGCGGGGGCCTTCACGGCTGATGTGAAGCGGAACGCGCGGCAACTTCCAGGCTGCCGTAGTATGTAGTCGCACAATTGACATACTGGGCGCGATTGGGGGCGCATTGATAATTTTCCTGGGTTCATCAGGTGTGGTCGAGGCCACAGCGGGCGCGGTGAAGGTCGGGTGACGCAGCGGTGGGCGGCCGAGGATTGGGATGCCAGCTGCCAAGCTGTGACGGAATGTTCCCACCACAACCATCACTCGATCACCACACTCTGTCACACGCCGACACTCGCAACCAGGCCGCGAGTGACTGCACATATATCCAGAATCTTTGCAAAACAGCAAAAAACAACGAAACCAAATCGAAGCGCGGCACATATCCCACCATGCCACCACCACCCCCTCCGCCTCCGCCCATGCCGCCCATGGGTCGAGGAGCTGGAGGGCCACCGCCGCCACCGCCTATGCCGGGGATGAAGGCGCCAGGAGGGAAACCGCCGTCAGGAGCAGGAAGAGTACGTTGCATTCATGGCGGAGGCAGGCCAGACACCGCGCCTCTGGCTGTTGGGCATCAAGAGAGCTATCGCTAATGGGACACAGGGTGCACTTTTAGGAGACATCAGTAAGGGTATGAAGCTGAAGAAAGTCACACAAGTCAACGATCGGTCGGCGCCAATAGTAGGCAAAGTGAGCGGTGGGGCGAGTGCAGCGCCCATGGGAGCACCAGCAATTCCCGGTATGGGCAAGCCGCCCGCAGTTCCAGGGCTTGCGCCGTCAGTTCCTGGAGGAGCAAACCGCGCGAGAAGCAACAGTGATACTGATAGCGGTGCCGGAATGGCCGCACCACCACAGCTGGGAGGGTTGTTCGCGGGCGGTATGCCCAAGCTGAGGAAGTCGGGCGGTGTCAAGACTGGCGCGGACCAAGACCATGCGCCATACCTCTCAGATCCCGAATCAAATCGCGCTTCAGCACCCGCACTACCACGAGGAGCAGCACCAAAGCCTCCAGGAGCGCCCCCCTCAGCTCCTCCTGCGCCGCCAGGTGTACGACCAGGTATCAACGCTCTTCGTGGAGAGTCGCGACCGTCTTCAGTAACCAGTATCAGTGGAAAGCCCAAGCCACCACCGCCAATTGGAAAGAAACCACCTATCCCACCTCCCTCGTCTCGAAAGCCATCTAATCTTGCTCCTCCACCGCCAGCTCCCTCCCCAGTTCGCGCACCGCCCGTGCCGGGAAGCGCCCCTCCTCCACCACCTCCAGTTTCCACACCTTCCGCACCACCACCGCCGCCTCCTGCATCAACGTCGCCACGGCCCACTGGACTTCCTCCAGCGCCCCCTCCTCTACCTCCTTCGCCAGCGCCACGAGCACCAGCGCGGTCGACACCGCCGCCACCACCTCCACCGGATGACGACGAGTACGACCCGTATAAATACAACTCTCACGCACCCTCGGCACCTGCACCACCACCACCACCGCCTCCAAATGGCCATACACCATCACTCGCAGAAATAGCAGCCCGAAATAATGCCTTTGGTCACTCAACACCCGCCGCACCGCCGCCACCCCCTCCAGCTTCACCACCAAGCGCCCCCGCGCCTCCCCCACCCGCCGTTGCGCCCCCAAGCCGATCATCCACCCCCTCGCGCTCCATGATGGACCCGGCCTCGTACACGTTGACAAACGGCGGCGGATCGAGCACCAAGAGCCACAGCAGCTCGGGCGGCGGTGGCGGCCATAAAGGAAGAGTCCGACCGATCCACGACTTGCGCTGGCGATTCCAGGACGAAGGCCAGTTTCCCCGCCCCCGTGAATTCACCGGTAGCAAAAAGAAATATCGTGCTGGAAGGGGTAGCAGTGTTCCTTTGGATCTTAGCGCTTACGAGTGAGATTTAATCAAAAAGTTTCAGAGCAAAAAAAGCTTGGGGGCGCACATTGTTGCAAGTGCGGGGGTCGTTTTTTTGGTCTTCTTTTCGGAATGTTGACTAGCTTCATGGCGGGGTAAAGGGACGGAAGGGGCTGGGAAATAACATTGTTGACGTTTAGCCTTGGCGTTTGGGGCGCTTTAGTGGCTGGCTCTTTTTCTTTTTTATTCTTTTTTATGGGGAGGTTCGCGGAGGGAGTGTGTTTGGGGGAGGGGGGGAAGAGGGAGGTGTATTGCATTTTGGTAGTTGAGTGTGTTGTTTGAGAGAGAAAGAACGAAAGAGAGAAATGAAAACAAAAATTGTGTCATGCGTTGATGTGTATTTAGTACTTTCTCTTTTTCTTGTGGTTGATGAGAAGGAAAGGTGATGTCACGTGCATGGTAGAGTTGGGGTGTTGTGATATGGTTGGATGAAATTAGTGTCATTTGTGAAGTTGCGTGGTGATTGTAGCAGGATACGCTGTGGATGGGGGGAAAACACTTAGAAGAAGAGCCATGTATTTGTCTATTAAACATTAATTGACCTAGAGTAAGCGTCTCCATCAGGTGAGACATAACCTTTGCCCCATTCTCTCCTGACCACCAACAGATCTCTCAGCCTGGAACCAAAACAATCTTCACATCGTCAAACCCCCAAGAAATTTATCACCAATCCCTCACGGCAGCCAGCTCCAGTATCTGGCGACTCAATACTCGATCGTATCAAAATCACCTTCGTCCAACGCAACACCACTCAAGATCTTACCCATATGTGTCTTCTCGACACCTTCTCCCTCACGACGAATCTTCATAAGCAAAACACGTAAAAAGGGTACAGGCGACTTTGTAAGACCCCACTTCCCAGCTGGAGGATCGATGAAGCCATCGGCATACACTTGCTGGCCTTCTTCCGCCCGGCCTTGCAGGAGACCCAGGAAATCGCAGAGCTCATTGTACTCGTTTAGAGAGCGGAGGTAGAGACTGCCGGCGAATAGGTTGAGTTGCATAGTCAAGCTACGTGAAACAGAGCCTGGAGTGAATTCATGACCGATATTGTACAGGGTGAGTTCGTCGAGGGGTGCGTAACTGACGTTGGCGCGGGCGGCGAACAAATGGAGCGTGACTTTCTTGTGCTCACGGATCAATGGCAACAATTGATTCGCCTCGTAGGGGCTGATAACGATGAGATTGCTGACATTCTTTGGGCGATGTGAATCCGGTACAGAGACTACAAATTGTACTGGTCGCTGATAGGAGTCTGAGATGAAAGAGGCGCGGGTCGAGCCTGGAGGTGCGCGGACTGTTTGCATGAAGTCTAGCGTTATCAACAAATCGCAGGGGAACTCTTTCAGATTAGTGAGTCTCCCTGCACTAGTCGTTCTCAGTGCTTGAAACGCTGGCCTCCATGCTTCCAAGCCGGTAACGAATTCACCGGTAGTAACTAGCCGCCTGAGGTGTTCATGGACTTGATGCTTTAGAGCATCTAAGCGTGGAGGACGTTCGATTTGGCGCTCTTCTTCGATTTCGGGCGCAAGCTCCCTCTCTTGCTCTTCACTTAATGTAGCAGATCCAAAGTTCATGGCTTCGAAATCGCGGCACCGTGATATAATCGCACCGATGTTGGGATTAGACATGTCCCAGTTGCTGAGCTGTGTGAAACGATTTACGTCCTGAGTGCGAGGCTTGTACCGCGTTTCCAGATCAGCGGCTTCCTTCTCCAGAAAAGCTGCCGCGTCATCCTTTGTAGTTTTGGCGCCATTTATGAGGTTCTTCTGTCGTTCAAACCGTTCGCCTTGTACTGCCCACAAGGGGAGACTCCTTTTCAAGTCAGACCACGTCTCTCTGATTGCCCATGATAGTACGTCGCAAGCATCAATCTGTGCATCTGCAGGTTTTCCAGTCTGCTCATAGATCTTGGTCCTGATTTCTGCGGGTACAATAAATGTAATGGCTTGTCCATGGCCCAATTTCCTCATCCGCATTGCAGCTTGTGTAAGACGGTCCTTGCTCAACTGGCTACCCAATGTAAGTGCAGCGCGGTAATGACGTGGGAGCTTCAAGTCTGTTCCACGTGTATGCGCCTCGTCTAGATAGACCACGCATGAATCCAGCATCTTGGCGTAAGGAGATGTCTGGAATGAATCAACCCGAGAACTGCGATCGAGCACTGCCAACTCTTCATTCTCGAAGTAGACTACCGCCTGGACGTCGCTGCTGCGCATCTTCAGCCATGTCTCAGCAACCTGTCGATTATTCTGTTCAAGGATTGAGGCTCCACAATCCAACAAAACCCTGACATCTGAGTCCAAGTTCTCGATGAATGTCAGTAGATGCTCACCATCACTGGTAGCGTTACCGATTTTGCGCACAGGCAGAATTTCTACCGACGTCTCGTCCATTAACAGATATGACAGCACCTGTGCATTGGTATGATGTTGACTTGGCAGGTCAAGATGTTTGATGTTGAGTGGGAGTAGATGCAGGGTATCGTTCGTACCAGAAAACCCGGCCGTTGGGTGCGGCTTCTTGATCGCGAGGTCCCAGCCTGACGCACTAAGCTTCTGAGGGAATTGCTTAAGCTGTTTGGGAAAGACCAAACGCGCGAGGTAATAATCGATTGCGTTCTTCGAATATCTCAAGCTGGGAAACACTTCCGTAATGCACTGATGTCGATCTCGAATACTAATTCCGGCAAGTTGTCGAAATGTCTTCGGCAGGGTAGAAGATGCGGTGCGAACGAACCCATCATAGTATATGACTGATTGGTCAGATCTCAAGATATGGATGATTGTATCGAATAGTTCATTATCGGTCAACCCCTGATAATAGTATGACAAGAGCGTGAGAATGATGACGACGTCGGGATGTGAGAACTCAGACCTCGGTGAAGGCGAGTCTTTGCTCCTATATGGTACCTGTTTTCACCAAGTCAGTATATGCTTTGCGCAATAGAAATTTGAGAATTTTACTTACTGCAAGTGAAGTACTGGGCGTACGGCAATGATCAAGGCCAAAATTGACTCGGTACCGCTTGGTTGTGAATATGAATCGAAGAACACCATCAGCAAACAAGCCGCGTAGCAAGAGTAGAGGAGACTTTGTAGTTTCGGTCCAAAACTTGCTTTTCTCAACTGCGTTCACTTCATCAAGATTCAAGTCCGTCTGAGTAATATAGCGGATGATTGCGCCTTGCATGGTTGGTGGTTGTGACCTTGAAGGAATACCAATGCCTTGTTGAACAACATGCACTGCCAGCAGGTGCAAGGCCCGAGCAGCGGAGTCAGAACGCAAGAATCTGATTCGTGGGAACTTGCTGTTGCCATCGTCTTGGATATCGACTGCATCAGGCAGCTCTTTCTTCACCCGGGCAGCTACAGATGCCAGAGATGTTAGGACATCCTGAATGATGAACCATCGTGTAGGAGCAAACTCAATTGGTTGTTGCTCTCCCATAGTGTATATCAGTTCAAATTTTACGGAAAAGTTTTCGTCACTCTCGTCAACGCAGTCGACCGAGACTCTGTCGAAGAACTCTTGGGTCGACAGTAGCGACTGGGCGGTTTCCTGCTGGTCAAGGAGTACGCATTCCACAGCCATGAGTTTGAAAGATAGAATATGCTCAGGTTGAATCAAAAGCACGCCACGGTTGGCGATGCACTCGTCGTAAATCTGGCGGATGGTCTGAGCATCATTGGCGCTAAGTCGAAGGTTACGTGAGAAGGGCATTTGGTAGACCCTTCTGCCCAGCATTCCTCCAAGCTTAGCCACAAGCATTTGTAGCATTTGCTTGCTCTGAGGCTTCGCAACTATGACCCTCACTAACCTAATAAATTACGTTAGTAAAACCTAGGTTGGTAGATGAGAGGACTTACTTCTCTTTGTCACCATGATGAGCGCTCAGAATTGGAACAATGGTGGTCGATTTGCCACCTCCCATCAACAGCTGCAGTACCACGTTTTGCCCATCCTTGGGCGAACGCATCTGGCTTGCAATGTATTCTTGCTCCTTACGAACCAGGATGCCGCTTTCAGCTTCGAGGAGAAGCGTCTCGGGGAACTGGCGTACATCCCAGTTGGAGTGCCCAATGTGTTGCAGCTCTTCAATAAGCTCCACCGGCTTGCTCGAGAGACGAACCAATCTTTGAGCCCTCTGCAGATTAGTTATGGCCAAAGCATATTGTATAATGACCTCTTTCCAGTCCTCCGGGAGATGTTCGAAGCGGTCTCGATGCAGCAGACTGAGCCAAAAGGTAGGTGAAAATCGTGGTGCATGTTGGGTTTGGAACTCAATCTCGCTACTGAACAGACCTTCAAATGAGGAAGCAATCTTATGGAGATGCTTACCACATTCGCCTAAATACTCCTGCAAAACGGTTGCGGCATTGACAACCAGATCTTGGTGTGCGTAATTGGTGTTGAGATGTTTTTCGAAGGCTTTGCAACTCATACGTAGATGGTCAACGTATTCTCGCTCACATTTAGATTCGGAATATGCAATGAGGTGCTGGCAAAGATCTTCGAGCCTTTCCATTCTCTGGGAATGCATTATACGCTCAGGTGTTTTCGCGATCGTGATTTGTGGCTCAGATGGTGATGTGGGAAAGTTCAGATCTGATACTGGAAAAGATGTTAGTAAGCTCACTTTAGACAAAGTCGCAAATATATGATACGCTGAACTAGAACATAAGAAAAACATACCATGTTGGGACGTGGGAGGTGTCGAGAGAGCAAGAATACTCCTTACGCTAAAAAAGCGGCCATCAGAGTCAAGGCCAGCCTTCGTATGAGGTAGAGCAAGGCCATACCGCGGTTGAGGTACGCTCGAGACATTCTGACGCGCCAGTACTTTTTTTGACTGTCCAAGATAGTCTAGGAACTGGCGATTGTCATACCAGCTTTTAAAACAATCTTGAATTCTCACCATTGCTTTGGAAAGATTAAGATACCTCGTGTACTCAAGCTTTGACTCTACATAAGGTGCTTGAACAGATGCTTGGTTTCGTAATTTTTCAGCAACACCCTCGATTGCTTTGTACTTCTGAGAATCAAACAGTGCCTCGATTCGCCTTTCATGCTGTTCAGAGGTCTCGTTATTCATTCTGGGCGACGTAGCTTCCGCAGATGTATCGAAGGATTTGGTGTTTTGCACAAGAATGGAGCGTATCTTTTGGGCATCATATTGATCTCCTTGTGCCAAATCGAACCGGGAAGCAGCAGGCAGCTGTACGGCTGCCATCTCTTGTAGTCTGGAGAATGCTAGCAAAGCTTGGATCGCAACCATATCAACGTCCTTAGCAAATGCCATTGTGCAAAGCCATGTCGCCAAACTGTAGCGATTGCTGGCGCTAGGGAGAGTTCGATGTAGGGTGCACCAATTTGCAACAAAGTGCTTTGAGTGATCTTCAAGCCACTCAGAATCATAGCCAAGATTATTAGGATCGAAGGAGTCATCAACGCCATGAACGGTAGCTGATCGGAAATGCTTGCGAACAAGATTTTCCTTAAGATCCAAGATGCAGCTGTGCAAAGCAGCTTCATCGCGGAGGGCTAGAATGCCGGCGATGAAGGCATGACGACCCCTCTCATTTTGCACTATGTCTCTACTCCGGTACTCAATGTCATGAGCCGTAGTGAACTTCTCAGCACCAAATCCTGCAACACGGAAAGTACTTGATCGTATCATATCACGTTGTTCCAAGTGACAGTCCGATAGAGAGGAAAGTTTCTGTTGAGCTTTGTCGATCGAGGCAAAAACGTCATTGTCTGGATGAAACAATCGCATCTTTGCGGCTTGGTCCAGCAAATCGGACACCGTCATTCGAAAGGAGCCATGTTGCGACAGTGATGGGAGACGCTCATCCCACTCAATGTTTTGCATCACCCTTAGGTTTTCAGGATACCACTTCCTCTTAGCGGAAAGCTCGGCTATACGACACAGAAGCTCTACGTTTGCCGGAGTGAGAATGTCGAATGAATGTACTGCTGCTGACCAAAGGATTTCGAGGCTGCTTTCTGTACCAGTACAGTACGTTAACGGGTCCGGAAGACACCCAGATGTGATAGCATGCAGGTAGCTCAAAAAAAGCCGACTTTGCATCTCCGAAGTATCCAATAGTCTACCGAGATCTGTATCCATAGTGTATGCGTACACCTTATGAACATTTCCCTTGTTGATTGACACAGTAGGGTGATGACCAGAATGATGAACACTGAAGTAAATGATGCTCGATGTGTCAAAGGTCTTGGGCGATGGTATGAGGACCAATCGTTCTGCCGTATGCTCATGCTTAAGCACAAGCTTACTGGCCAATCCAACAAGAGTTCCAATGCTCTGGTTTTCGTCAACGGTCATGTCGCGATACTGGGAAGAGTATATCGAATCTCCTCCTTGCTTGATATAAAACCCGAGCTGAAGTCGGGGAAGTTCAACGTTGATCATTTGAGTTGTGGTATCGAGCTTGGCATGTATGTGCTTGGCATCTTCCAATGACCGTAGTATTTTAGAAAGCATTTTCTCAGACTGACTTCCCAAACTGATCAAGATCTCACATCCTTTTATCAGTCGCCAAGCACTGTTATGAGCATTGCGAACTAAACGCCATTCTTCAGGCGCTGACTCCCACGGGCTGTCTCGACTCCGAAAGATCAACTCCTGCCGTTTGTGATCATACCAGTGGATATAGTTCGTCAAGAATGCATCAGGAAGTTGGCTCTGCAATGTGCGTGATGGAATTAGGTCGAGTTTCGTGCTATTTCCGTAGGCGACTACTAGCATATCATTGTTTTTCATTCCAAAGTGAAGCTCGTAGTCGTGGTATGGAGACTTTGCCGAGAAACGCATTCCTGATTCGCTGGTGGGTACGACTTCCAATGCTGATTTCTGGAACAAAGGTTTGTACATGTGATGGGACATGTATTCGGCAGGAAGTCGAGACAATGGCAAACCATTGACAAGAAGTTCACCGGTTAGTAAGTTAATATGTACTGACAGCGATCCCGAGGTTGTCTGGAGCCAATGTTCTTTGTGACCACCGAGCGAAGTCCAAGGGTTTTCTGAAGTCGGATCGAAAGCTGCCCAGTTTGCAGTGACAGCGTCTGAGAGACTTTTACCGTTGGAGAGGATGCGATCATGTAGCTTGGGGACGATCCGATACATCATCCACCTCCATGATAGAGTCGTGCTCCTTAAAAGAACCTCGTTCTCAGACTGGACGAAGTCGATATTCTCCTGGATGATTATCGATGCCTGCATGAGGATCGAAATAGCTGATTCATGTTCTAGAATCGATCCAAAGTCATCTTCCTCCACATCATATGTGCTTGTGCATACAAGAGCAATCTCCGCCGCCCTTGAGTAGAGTTCTGTACGCTGGTCATCAGCTGTGGATTCAGCAGCTCTTTGCTTCAACCTCAGAAACCACTTGAGGCAGACAGATCGCAGCCGGATGAGATAACCAAACGCTCGCGAACGGACTTCTTGGGCGGTAGTCAAATTCAGAACTCTGCGAGCAAGTAAGGAGAATGTGGCTGAAGCCCGCCATGATTCCCAATTTTCCTCAATGCGGTCGAGCGCGGTCTCGAGCTGGTCCATCAATGCACGACCAAAACAGGCTTCCTTAAGGATGTGATGAGTTGCACGCTCAATACAGTGCTTTGGAAGTCCAGCTTGGTGTACCGCCTGGAAAACTATACATTGTGACTCGACCTTTGAAAAGTCTACTGTTGGTACCGCCAGCTGGGTAAGAATGTTGGAATGCAAGATGTGGTTTCCGAGAGACAATGCGCACAAAGCTTTGTATTCTTCAATGGAGAGGTGAGCCGGGCAGTCCGACAAACTGGCCTAAATATTGAACCTCGATCAGCATTTTCCCATAACATACCATACGCAAATATTGTGGAACTTACAATAACTTCATTGGCAGGAAGGCCATTGGGTGAAGAGGGCAGACGGTACATGAAGCGTTCTAGTGTCTTTGACTGCTGCGGCATTTTGTACATGCACCTCTTTGGGATTTCTTCCGTACATATTGGCATCGCTATGTTGAACTGAGCGCTGATAGTATTATAGTAACGGTATTGCAACGCGTTCTCCAAACAAACGTCATTTTCGTTCAAGTTCTGGACAGCTTTCATATTCTTTCGGTGGGTAACTGTGTGGCTTTTGACTTCGGATAGTGGCATGATAACCCTCTTGGAATAGTGTGCAGACAGTGCACTAGATAGACCGTGATGATTCTCAAGTGTATAGTAGAATCTTGGTTTCACTGGAGTCTTCTCGCGGCAACCCAGCACGGTTGTGATGAAGTGGGCCGAGGCATCTCGCCAATTGCTAAAAGCTTCAGGTACTTTCAATTCAAACACCGTTGCTTTCGCTACAGATTTTGACGAGGACAATGGCCACTCATAGATCGAGATGCTAAGATTGTCTGCGTTGTTCTTGGCCATACATCGGTTACAATTATAATCGTGAACCTTCGTGGTGTATCCATGGTAACGATTTGTGAATACGGTACGATAACTGCAACCAGTATTGTTGTAGGTGTGCATGTACTGGCGGTAAAGAACTTTGAGGTGCTCTAATTCTTCACACTTATTTTTCCGGGAGATTGTAGCATCATGCTCAATATTTTCCAACGTAGACTGGAGCGATTTGCATTGGTCGAAGTATCGGACTGCGAATGAAGAAGGCTCACCAAAGTCTCGGTATACAGAGGGTCTCCCCTGTGTTGCTTTCCGATGTCGAGAATCAACATAGCCCTCAACAGTGTTGAGGCGACCCAGTTGGCTCTTCAGTGGAAGCACGAGAGATTGGAACTCCGTTAGATTGACCTCGGGATCGTAACTATTCAACATGGGATAAATAGCGCATGCGCATCTATCGCATGATACCCAAAGCTCCGCAAGAGTTAGGTACATGACTGACATGGCGATCGGTGATTGATCATACGCAGTATTGGCGATATTGTAGTAGATTCCCATCAACATACGAAGTTGCTCACAGGCATTCGAATCATAGAGGTGGTTACGAGTCCAATCCGACAAGTTATGCTCGACCCAATGCTCCAGAGCCGCCAGACGAAAGTGCTTGTAGTCATCAGGATCATCTAGGTTGATTGGGAGGTCAGATGTGTTGAACTTTGGGTACAGTGATGTAGGGACGTATGTTGACGGGTTGTGCTCTTGCTTCCGAGAAGTTATTTGAGACAGGAAGGCATCCAGTCCCCAAAGGTACATGTCGAGGTCATTCTCAGGTTGTAGGCCGGCAATGACGCTTGTGTTGATATTACCTTCAGTATTCTTGACCAAGTCATGCCAATGTTGATCTATGAAGCGATGAGCATTAAGAATACTAGCATCGATGTGGTCAATCCAGGAAGCCTCAAGGTACTCGAACTGTTTGAGAGCCTTGAATTTGCGCAGTCGACGCATCAACTTCGCTGAGATGGCTTGTATTGGTTCGCTTCCCAAGCTTTTCCAGTCACGCTGAGCTAGGCCAAGCAGTTGCGCTGACATGAAGATCATAAATGCCTTGTACAACCCGTCCTCATGCAGTGTACCTGATGCTTCGTGTACGAAGAGAAGCTGTAGTGAAACACGCAACAAAAGCCACAGCGGAGACCGTCGCCATGGTGAAAGGCAGTCATCCCAGAGTACCTCTTCACGGGTATGTTTCTTGATGCGCTCGGCGACTGTCAGCTCACCGAAAGCTGCGATCGTGTTCATGTATAAGTTCGTGACTATACCGGGATCGGTAGTGTCGCGTTCTTCGGCCATGCTCTTCCCATTCTTGGTGATCTGGGGCTGGAAGCTCGGAACCTTCTGGGATGTCATCTTCGCCAAGGTACTGGAGATTGACTGAAGCAGTTTTACATTGCGAGCCATTTTGGTTACGGGGATGCTTGCCGCATATCCCGGAAAACTTCGTATGAGTCGACCAGATTTCATGGCTGCCTCGTTGGTAGGCGAAAGTTCGAAGAATTCAAACTGGACTTTGTCTCCATAGCGACTAACAAAGATTCCAGCGTTTTGTTCTCTAATCTCGACCGGTATAGCGCCATCCGTCTGACCGTTTGTGACTTTAGCGAGTACACTCTGTAGCTTGGCTTGGTTGGTGAGTCCATGCTCATCACGACTACTACGGAGGTTTTCGACAGTGGCAATGGCCGCGATGACAGGCCCGACGTGTTCGTTCTTCACATGGACTTTCAGAGTTTTCAGAGCCTGAACAACGGCCTCAAGGAGGACAGTATCATTTCCAGTGCTTCGATCATCTTGTTGTGGTAGCTTTGGAGGTAGAACCACATGGTGATAGAGATAGGCCGTGGTATCCGCTAGGAACTCCATAGCCTAGAGTGCTCAATGGGCGTGTGCTACCATGGTTGCGTCAGTATACCAGACATGGCTTCTTGTGTTTCTCTCCGTCACTGGTGGCGGGTCATCTTGATCAGTCGAGATAGATACTCACCTGTCTTAGGTTTGTGAATACAACAAGTGGTAGATGAATGCGTTGTATCGTTGAAGTTGTGGCAGTGGTGTCACAACAATATGAGACAAAGATTGGTCGCCAAAAGCTCTACAGAGTTCAAGGTGAGTGTGTAGATAATGCAAAATTTGATTGTGGTGTGGCGCTTTGTTGACAGTGAAATTGACAAACGGACTGAGCTCACTTTCACCTTATACCTGCGCGATATCCCACCATCCCGATAACCACGCCGCTAGAAGGAATGAACGAGAATACTACGTTGCTCATCCATGAGTTTCTTGCTCCTTAATTCATGCGCATGGAGTACTTTGGCCAAGTCAGGCCAAACTTTTGCTCATGTGAGAATGGTGCGCGCGTACAGCAAGGCTGGATGTACAAGGCAACAGCTTCCTCAGATTAGGGATCCACTAAAGATGCCCGACCTTAGAGACATGTATTCGGACTTGACCCATCTGTGCTCTGTTACTGATTTCTCATTCGTAGAGACTCTGAGTGCGCATTATCTCAGGCTGCGACGTCAAGCGGCACGGAGACGCCGCAGTCTAAGCCACTCTCAACACCCATCATCTACAGCCTTGTCTTGTCCCAAGCTTTTAACGATAGGATAGGAACCTCTCAATCTCAATATCGAACTACAAGGTATGTTTATTGGTTGTGACGTGAGAAGAAGGTAGAGAAAGTGAAGGACCTTCCGGGGCGTAGTCGTGCTATCATTCCGAGGTGAGGACACGGATCTTGGCGAACATGCCGCTATTCGCAGAGCGCTCTCACGAGTTCCGAAGTGGAGTTGGATATTGTGTCACAGCTGGGTATGTAGAGAAGTGAGGCGGAACTTTTTGAAGAAAGGTTCTGGGAGGGAAAGAGCAAGCCGTATCAACTGCCACCGCCAGCCAACACGAACTATGTAGGAAGGACCCAACACTATTGCCAAGATTGGAGAGTATAGCACACTGGCGATATATCAAAACCTGAACTTGAGTATTTCACTATTTTGTTAACTACAATTCACAGCCTGGAGATGCATAGTATCTCTTCGTAGACTAGAATCCATATTGAGCGTTAGCAAGGCCAACTCTTCTCTTTGAAGTCGGGTTGGCTATTACGTATTCTCGTGTAACGGTGCAAAGGGGGGGGGGATACGGGAAACTCCAGTACCGACCTCCACAGTCTCCACAATCTTATGTGAGCGATCCCAATAAGCACGGAATACATATTACGCGGCTTGAACCTTGCATTTACATATTTACAGCAAACCGCACTTATCCTCCAGCTGCTCATGAATATGCAAAAACGATTGCAACTTGGTTGACCATTGTAGTGACACAATCCATGTCTGTGTCCAAAAAAACGCCACGGATGCCAAATTCCCCTTTCCATTAGGGTATTATCAACATGACCAAGAGGTTGCTGATCAAAATCAAAGCATCCTCGGGCGCTGAAAAAAAAAACTCACATACTACTACATTTAAAGAGAAAGAAAAACACTGCCGTCAAAATTCGTGTGCTCGATATGATGCATATTATTCACCGCGACTCGACAGCCATTTCTGGGGCAGGTTTAGGCATGGGCTTGAGCTCAGACCCGGCTCCGCTTTCCGCCCTCTTGCGACCTGTTAGGGAAAAGTGGTGACTCGAGGTAGGACGCTCTTCGGTGCGGTCATTGGAGTGGTTGTTGTCGCCAAAGCGGGAGAAGATGCCGCGCTTTTTGGGCTGGGGCTTAGGCTCGTCATTCAGCCCCACATCCTCAAAGCCCTCCTCGGGTACCTGATCATGGCTTTCGCTAGGGCGGCCTTGTTGCATGGATGAGCGGGGTGTGGCGCGTGAGCGACGGGCGTCAAAAGAGCGCCGCGTGTCTATGGATCTGCGCGCGTCGAGCGATTGGCGAGGATACGTCTCGTGGACACTGTCAGTGATTGGCGAGCGCGCGGAGATGTCCTGGCTGGTATTAGAGAGGGAGTTACTGCTGCTACTAGTTATAGACGTACAAATGATCTCCGGTACGAATCAAAACTTTCGCGCGAAATGCTAAAGGGCTCATTTTCGGCAAGAAGGCTCCGGTGGTTCGATGAGGTTGTCGAGACGTTGGACTTGGTGTGCCAGAACGTTGGCTTCTCGTGGTGTGGTGAGGGCTGTCGCGCAGTGAGCCAATGTCTCTCAAGATGGAAGTCCCTGCCGTCGCAATTCATGTGCGCTGCATCAATTCGATATGCGCTCAAAGGGCTAGTCTTACCGGCAAGTACACGCCGCTATCGTTGATCTCTACACAAACTGTAAGCGCCCGATCGTCACATATGCAGTGCGCGAAACACGCCTCGCGCGCCCAGAACATGGCATGAGAGTCTCACCACTCAATTTGTATTCTGCTGGATCCTTCAGCTTCAAGGGCGTGGCTCCCGAGACAGTTGCGGTCTTGAAGTCGTTCTCCGGGGCGTTCCGTTGGGCGTCATCAGCCTGGTCAGGCGCACCAGCGCGGCGGAAAGGGTTACGGATAGGCATGGCGGTAGGGCAGTGCAGGCAGAAAAGAGCGGTACAAAGGCAGAGTGGAGTATCGTAGCAGGCTGGGAGTTTGGTGGGTGTGAATCCAAGAGGAACTGCTCGATCTAGCGACTAACATCATGACTTCCGTCGCCGAGCCAATCGGGCAGGAACCAAAGCCATTTGGGGTTTGGTGTCGGTGCAGACATGATCCGGAATTCGTGCGAGGGGCGTGGCGCCTAAAGACGTCATGGTACAGGAGTGTCGAGACAGCGACTTGCCTGAGAGGTCAGAGTCTCTCCGTCAGCATTGGAGGCTGTATGTATGTATGGCGAACACTGAGGAGACGATGAGGGGCAGATGCAGCAAAGAAGGAAGGCCTCCGGGCGGTCCCTGCATAAGACGACATGGGAATCCGTCAGGTACCGAACGACGTGAACCGAGGGCGCGTCAGCTAGCCACCAGTGCGCCCATAAAACTGCTTGTTTGCACCTCGCATGACCCGGCCCTGACTATTGTGACCAGAGCCATTGTTTGGTACTTGATGGTGGCTGCGGCGGGGGGGAGGGGCGCGAGGAGAAGACGCCCGTCTCGCAGACCAAGGAAAAGGAAACAGAAACGGAAATGCAAATGGGTGCTTCAGGGTAGTGTGGGATGACGTTATTAGACGAGACGCGTACCGCCCATTCGAAACGGGCGTGGCGTTCCTTGTTTCTCAGGCAAGTCTCCTGGCCATGTCTGTCTCCATGACCCCGCGACGAAACGTGCCTCAGCCATGGTTGCCCCCCGTCCGCAAAATGACACAGCCAGGGACACCAAATGGGAACGAGCAACACCTACCTCGGCCAGCTGAGGCAGCATCACTTTATTTTCGGAAGACGAGCAGCAGGCCCCCCCTGGGACGGTTGTAACTCGCCTCTTCCGACCGGCTGTCGATTGCAATTGACTTCCGCCGCGGTGGTGTCTTTGCCTAAGCTTCTGACACACATTGTCTTGGCCGTATTCACGTGAGAACGCTAATGGCACGTTAGGCGCAGGTTATGGAGAAAGAAAAAAAAAACTCGGTGCATGAACTATTGACTAGCTGGCATGGCTTGCACCACCAAGACGGAAGACTGCAATGGTCAGGAGGCAGGGGATTGAACATAGACGAGCAAGACGAGTGCGAGCGAAGGGCTTTTGCAGGGCCCCACAACAAATACGATGAGTGACGGCATCGCATGTCATGGTGGTATGTGCAAAGACTACATGTGGACATGCAACAGTGGATTGTTACGTTTGCACGTGGTCACTGCGTGTGGCAGGATGAAATGGCCTGCGTCTACCTATATGTGTGTACATATACATGTGTTTACTGCATTTGTGCATCACATGTGGGCGCCACGGCAACCGATAGAGGCTCTTGTGTCGATGGGCCAAGATGCGTAGCTTTGTCTAGCTTACCCAGAGACGGTTGACGCCAGGCTTTGGTTGGCGATGAGAGCAGCGACTAAAAAGGCACAAGATTCGGGATTTGTCCACGTGTGGTGTAAGAAGGGCGCGGAGCAGAGCAGTACGGGGTGGCCAAGGCGCAGGAGTACGAGAGAGTTTTGCCGATCACCAGCAAACAGAATGGCGCCAATATTACGGTGCTTACTGCACACTAATGGAGTGGGTGCATCCCACAGCTCTGCCGAGACCGGGTGGACCCTCCAAGACAGCATCACCTTGGCCACCAAGTGTGATTTTTTGGTATCCAAGGCCCTGGTGGTGTGCAATTAACCAGCCAAAGACAGGGTTGCTTGCATGCAGACTGGATGCCATGGAATCTCGATGCCTTGGGGCTGATGTACTTGGATGCAGCCCATGGAGGGTGAGTGAGTGGTATTGGAGCAGGAGTAGGAGCAGGAGCGGTCACCAACCCAGGCGAAGTAATGCCGCCCTCTTCGCAGTGCTTATTGCCTTGGTTGAATGAGGCTGTGTCGGTGTAAGAGTGAGTAGGTTTGCATGTACACATATACATATAACTATCTATATACATGTATCGATTGTGCATGCAGGTTAATCGATAGCCTAAGTAGGGGCGCGAGAGCCAAGCGGACGGAACCTGCATGGGCGGCGCGCCGGTACCATGGCTAGAACAAGACTCTCAGTCAAACAAAGGAGTAAGTAGAGTGACAGGAGATGCGGTGTGCGCTGGGTGTGGCGGTTGCACCTTCATGTCGTGCTCCATGGGCGTCCGCTATTTTGTCCTGCACCGCAGACGACAGGGACAGGCACCAGGACCCCCCGCCTTGCCCTGGGTGAGATGGGGGCTCGTGCACCCCTACCCCGGCCACGGCGCAAAACCCATCGTTGTGGTGGAGCTATTGCGGGAATTGCTGCTTGCTCTTGTTATGACAAGTGTCTCTAAACGGCCGTATGGGAGTCCGCAGTTAACAAAGACGAAACACGGCTCGACCGGGGCCTTGCGACATCAACGCGCCGGGGGATTATCGCTGCCATGGGCTGGCGGGAGGAACGCTTGGATGACGAGGCCAAATGTCATTGTGATGGTGATGGGCAGAAAACATCACGACATGTGGAGAAGTGCATCCTGCTCCTCTCCTTCGGAAGATGGATACGATGTGGACGGCGGATGGAGCACTCCCCTGCCCAGCAGCAGCCGAGAGCGCCACGTTCCTGGTGGCGTCAACGGCAGTCTAACTGGATGGCGCAGGCGTGGTGCCGCTGCCGTCGCCAACGCACTGCGCCAAAAGAGACGTCAATTGGAGATGGACGAGTGTAGTATACATAGTCGCGCAAGAGGGCGAGGCTACTGGAACGTGCGACTGCAGGTCCCGGTCCACGTACATCCAAGTGTGTACAGTACTCTACTTACTAGTAGGTAGCTGCAAGCGCGTCGCCGAGCTGGGATCTATTATTGGCGGCCATCGGGTCTGCTTTAGGGCTGCTACTGTCTCGTATGGGCTCCACACGGGTGCCAACCTGCCAGACGTTGAATGTTTCCAACCACCTCTGCGTACCGTCGCTTGCTATTTCCAGCCTGTAGTCCTGCCGTCCGCCCATGGCACGCATGCACGGCCGATGCGCCAGCCCAGCTTTGGCCAGCACCATCGACTCGTCCCCATCACACACACACCAGCACCCTCTGCCCCGATGTTTCCACCGCCGGGCCCGTGTATGTGGGCGGCGATCGACCGTGTGGCTGCCCCCTCCCCTCCCCTCCCCTCCCCCCGATATAATATTTCCTCTCCCCTCGCCCCATCACCGCCCTAGTGATTCCCGTCTTCCAAGACGTTCCACGCTCGTTTCCACCGCACCACCACATCCCCGCCCAACCACTCCTCCGCCGCTCGCTCCCCTCTTCACTCTACACTACTCGCTGTCGTCACGGGATCTGCTGGAAAAGGACCCATCGCTCGCTACCCTCCGAGCCATCTACTACACAGCACCACCCCTCAAGCCTCTTTCACCACTGCCACCCATTGTGTGTTCCTGCCATTGTCACATTGTCACACGCCTTCCCATTCTTTGGCGGCACCTTTCCTCTTTGTCCTTGGTCCTGTCGTTGTGCTTGCCGCACAAGCCCGTCCAATAACAAGCACTACTACTTACTTCTCCGGCACCTGACCTCTTCCACCCCCCCCCCCCCATCAATCATTTTTACTGGGGGTCGGAGTAGTCGCCTCACTTCCTCACTGCAAACATGGCTTTCGGGGCGTCTGATGATGGCGTCTTCTTCACCAGCTGGGCGTTGTGGCAGAAGATGACTTTTGTGAGTGACCCAAATGGCCTCTGCCAGTGAAACACTAACACACTATCCCCAGGTTCTCGCATGTGGCATCGTCTTCACCATCATCATTGGCTTCATCAAGCTTACCTTTGACAAGAGGAGGCTTCGCAAGTACAGCAAGGTCGACAAGGGCAAGAGGGCGCAGTCGCCCGAGATGCTCGAGGCGCAGCCTGTAACCCAAGTCAACGAAGATACCAAGGACGAGATCCCATTCGGCATCCGTGCTATCCAGAGCGGTATCGAGGTCGACGGTGTGTGGATCTCACGAACAAACACGCCCGTTGGCAGCAGTCGCGCTTCCATCATGAGCGAAAAGTTTCCTCGCAACATGAACAACTCGCAGCTCGAACTTCCACAGCCAGTCGCCCAGGGCTCTAGTCGCAACAGCTCGCGCGCTCCAAGCTCATTTGACCGCGCCGTCTCTGCTGAACTACTGTCCAACACCGACTCGCGCTCTTCATCGCCCGCTCGTGGACATCAGCACGACGGGCCCCGCTGCAGCAACTGCAACCACCACGTCTCTCAGTCGGCTCACTTGTCTGGTTCCTCTTCTCCATGTAGGTATTCGGCAGAGAGGTTTGTGACCAACACTAATCATCCCTCAGCTCGCGCCAGCCCTCTTGGACAGGTCGAATCCTCCTTCAAGTCGAGCAGCCGCAACAGTGATGAATCTGACTACATGGCCATTAACCAGGACGTGCGCGCATACGAGACTGCATACCTCCCTCCCAATGGCGCTCAAAGGACCATCGACCCCAAGACTGACCTCGAACTTCTCCGAAGCCACCGCCTCTCCCACGTCGCCGAGACTGGACAGCTTATGCCCCGCGTTCGCAAGCCAGGCCAGAGCGGAGAATGGGCCAGCGTCGCAGACAACCAGGTTTCCACGCTCAACGGTGTCAACTACTTCACGCCTCGGAAGTCGCCTTCTCCTCCGCTCTCCACTGGTATTCACCCATCTCAAGATATCATAGCATCTTCTTCTAGCCCTAGTCATGATGGTTACGCAGCCAACCAGGCCAGGCAAGCAATTCCTCTGACCGAATCCTACGCACCTAATGCCCCATTCTACCCCGATACCTACCAGCCGCACGGCCCAAGCCACCAATATAGCTACGACCAGGTCCCCTACCAGGTCATGACGGACCAAAATCAGGACCGCAATGAGCAAGTTCTTCGCAAAGTCAACTCTGGATTTGAGATTTTGCGGCCAGGCACCTTCAAGGAGCCTACTCCTGAGGAGCTTGAGCTCGCCGAGCGGAGTGCATCCAAGAAGCTCCAAAAGAAGCGGAGACCATCTACTGACTCGCGGAAGTCTGCCTTTACGGAGCAAGTTTGATACATTGCTGTCTCAATAGCCCTACTCTCACGTAATACCTCTGTTGTACGCGTCGCCACCACGCTGCGACGGTCATCGTACCATGCCCACTACGTGCTGGCACCATGCTGCATCAAAAATTTTACGTTGTTTTAATCATGTACCATTTTGCAAACTTGGGGATTCTGGACTACATTTGGGCACATGGCATGTATTCTTTGGAGACGCCATGCAACATTACCACTGGTTTTTTTCCTCTTTTTTTCATTTTCTCTCCTTTCCCCGCCGCAACAGGTTGCTTGGCCTTACGAATTGCGAGCGGTGTTATAGTAATCATTTACCACGTCCGTCACACACATACACATTACATGGGCGTTTTTTGTTGGAATTCAAAAAATGGTGGGGAAGCGGCGTCACCTA